TGTGTGTGTGTGTGTGTGTGTGTGTGTGTGTGTGTGTGTGTGTGTGTGTGTGTGTATTTTTACTTCTTTATTTGTGCATCTGCCTCTCTGCTTCCATTTATCTAGCTGTCTACCTATCTACTTTATGTTCATCCACCGTCTACCTATCTACTCATATTTAGGCAACTATCTCTCTCAATTTATGTATTTATTTATCTCTCCTAACATAATTCTTATCACATTGACAAGATAATGATGAAGTAATTGCATAATACCTTTTTGAAATATTATTTTTACTTCTATAATGTGAAAACACTAAATGACAACAGCTTTGTGTATATACATATATATGCGTGTGTGAGTGTGTGTGTGTGTGTGTGTGTACATATATATTTCTGTTTAATCGTTATATATATATGTGACCTATATGTTTATTTTTTCTTTTCTTTTCTTTTTTTACCAGTTAACTCTATCAGTTTGCAATATTCATTTATCTGCCTGTCATTTCACCTCTGCATCCTTCAATTTATCTATCCATCTGTTTTTGGTCTACTAATTTGTCGATTTATCTATCTGTCCATGCATCTATTTGTTTTATTTACTTTTTCATCTTTTTATCTGTTTACCTCTTCTCTCATTCGTCTGTAATCTATTTATCACGTCTCTCATTCGTCTTTATTTAGTTGTCTATTCGCTCATTTATCTGTTTATTTTTTTACCGATTCATTCAATTATGTTATCTATTTAGCTTTTCACTCATTCATTTGTTCATCTGTCAACCTAGATATCCACCCTCCATCCTCATCTTCTTCATCATCATCATAATCATCATCATCATTTTCCTCCTCCTCTTCTTTTTTTTATCCTTTTCCTACTCTTCCTCTGCCTCCTCCTCTTCATCTTCTTTTTCTTCCTCCTCCTCCTCCTCCTCATCTTCCTCTTCCTCCTCCTCCTCCTCCTCATCTTCTTTTTCTTCCTCCTCCTCCTCCTCCTCATCTTCCTCTTCCTCCTCCTCCTCCTCATCATCATCGTCATCATCATCGATTCACCCATTTCTCTTCTCGTTTCCTCATCGACGTACGCATTTCTTCTACTCATTGACTCACCTACTCACTGACTCACTCAGTAACTCACCAACTCATTGACTCACTCATTGACTCACTAACTCATTGACACACCAACTCACTGACTCACACAGTAACTCACCAACTCATTGACTCACTAACTCATTGACACACCAACTCACTGACTTATTGACTAACCCACTCATTGACTCACCAACTCATTGTCTCACCAACTCCCTGACTCACCAACTCACCGACTCACTCATCAACTCACTCACTGACTCACCAACTCCCTGACTCAGCGCCCCCGCCTCTTCCAGGAGGAGGAGGAGAGCTGGATCAGCGGCGAGGAGCTGTACACGGAAGGCAGCAGTGAGGACGAGGGCGCCTCATCGTCCTCATCCGCCCACGCCCACGCTCGCCACATCCCCCAGGCGGACCACAAGAGGACCTGCCCCGTCCCCGCCCACTCCCCGCCCACGACCCCGCCCTCAGCCGCGTCGGAGCCCGCCCAGCAGGTAAGATTTAAGTGGGGTGGGGGGTTGATGAAGGGTGGGGTG